TCTGGAAAACAAAATGTAGCTAAACGTCTATGAACATATATATGTTGAATAATTATTGGTTCTAGAACACTTTATAATCTGCTATATATTAATATGTCGTTTTGGATCATGTATCAAACAATTACCAACAGTATCCATTTATAACTCTCTTTTTTCGTATGATACTTGGTGCTATCAACATAGTTATTAACCATATTACAGATCTTTTATTCTAGACCAATTCACTGTAATGCTATTATAATTATGTGTTTTCATATTGCGTCATCTCTTTGTATCATTTTTTTTACTATATAAGAGCATATGTCAAATAACTTTTTTATGATTTTTCGTGATAGTTATACTCATTTATTTGTTTCAAATTTAGAATAAAAATTATTCGAAGTGTATTTCTCACCGAATGTTGGGATATTTAAGTGTCAGAAGTTTCTAATAGGAATATTTATATCTTTATTTAAATGATAACTTAAAATCTTTTTTAGAAACATTTTCAAAGTAAACGCTTATGTCCGTGTAAGGCCCAGAAACAGTTATTATTTACACGAAAAATCACTGATTGATTAATCACTGATTTCATGACGTGAAAATGGATTATAAATCCAAGTCTATAAAGCATTGATAACTTTCAGTTATAGTGATTTGATATTTTGTATGGAAGTAAAAATACTACTTTGTTTACATTAAGCTATTTTAACGACAAATAATTACACATAATTACACATTGAATGCAAATTTCTTCAGGTGATAACCATCCGACATGCACAGATGTTTTAAGGTTTTATTTTCTAATATATGCAAAGTTATACATGTCAAAGTTCTAGGGAGGGTTACTTCCCTGGTCATAGCATTGGGTGAGCATCTGATCACTTTGGTGTTATATGACTACAAAGAATCCCAACCAAACATCAACTTTACCAAGGTAAGTTTCGTTTATTTGGGGGCATTTATGATAAATGACAATTTTATAGGTAGAATGGAATGACCAGAATAAAAATAAATGAAAAACGACATCATGGATATATATATATATATATATATATATATATATATATATATATATATATATATATATATATATATATATATATATATATATATAAAACAAAAAACACAGTCCATGAGTTAACTTATTTAATTATTTGCCAACCGGTTTCTCATATGATCATCAAGGCAAATGTGACGTCGTCGCATAGTAACGACGACGTTTTTGTGTACACATGTGTACGCATAATCTAAAAATAGTAACGTCATTATATAGTATTAAGTTTTGGATTAAAAACATCAGTAAAATAGCGTTCTTTAGCTAAACTAGCTGAAACGTTTTTACTGTGAAATTTATAAAATGGGAAAATACAAAATTTCGGGTCTTTTTTAGAGCATTTATCTAAATGCTCACTTAAAGGTAATGGTCTGGTTGATGGGTCTCTTATCTGCTGAGCATGAACAGTTTTTCTGTTTCTGAGTTTGTCACCTGTTTGGCATTTAGACAAATGTTCCTCACCACAGAGGAGTCTTTACTTTAGGTTAACACTTTAAGTGTTGTTTGACCTGTTAGAAGAAGAATTGTCAGAATTATTTTTTTAAAGTTAATATTCTAATGATGACCATAATTTCTGCTCTGTTGTTGACTTGTACCTCTTAAATTTCTTCTGCTATAACCTGTAAAAGAATTTATATTGTATCATGAACAATTTCTTCTATAACCTGAAAAATTTCCTCTATTACCTGAAAAAGATTGTCTAAAAACGGGAAAAGATCTGTCATTAGTTGAGGAATCTTGTTTCTTGCCGTCTCTGCCTCATGTCTTTTTCTAGAGACTACATTTTGGTCATCAAAGTATCTATCTTTTTAGAAAGATCTGCAACAATTTTATCCCTGGTATCTGAAACAGATTGACATTGAACTTTTGATAATTTGTCTGAAGACGAAAGCTCTTGTTCTCCAGCTTTAACTTCTCGGGGTAACATGTTGTAATCTGAAATAAGCGTGGCATCATACTTGTGACTAGTTAATACTTTCAGCTTTTCATCATAAAGACCTGTCCAAAATTTAGATTCAAGATAAGTGGCTGACAGATTCATATTGTAGAAACATTCCCAAACAAAATATCAAGTTTATTCAAAATATCAGATAAAGTTGCATTTTCTCCCTGTGGTATCAGAACCTGTCTGGCTTAACCACGCAATGACCTACTAACAATATGTAAAATGATATGTTCTGTCAATGAAGAATCTGATAAGAGATATTTAGTCTATTAACGCCAAACATCATACGTAAAATATGATAAACATGATCAACAAGGCGACGTTCAATGAACGCAACCCCCATACGACTCAGCAACAAGAACCATTGGCAAGGTGCCCAGGACAAGGCACAGGATAGGGCACAAGACAGAGCACGGACAGGTTAATCACTAAAATGATAAATAATTTGTAACTGATGAGGTACATAAGAAGTTCGAGACAGAGACCCTTATTTTCCATGATTTTCTTTAAATGCTGCCGTCGCCGAAATGCAACTATGGTACCGTAACGATTTTAAACTGGAATGTTACGATCTTGAGATGCGTTATATTCTTTTTAATTTCTACTCAAAACAATATAAAAAGACTATATTTGGAATAAAATTGATAAATTAGACTCCTGCGATGATACATTTTAACACAAACCGTTTTATTGTAAATAATTCATATGTCGCGTTTAAAATGCTATGCCTCCGTAACGGGCGTATACTTTTAAATATACATTATACCAATCAAATAAGCTTGGGTAATTGCTCGTTTGCTGTTTATATATTGTTTTGATGTTATTTTTTTGTTATAATCAATGGAGCGACTTATGTTGTATCTATAACAAAGGAAATATTACACTTGGTTATGTATCAATTCATAATTATGCTATATATATAAATGAGAATAAACTTAATGGCTTATACATCAAATATTTGTCATCTCGAACAAGCTTCAGCAGGGACTTTGACACCAGCAAAGCCCTGGTTATACACACACGCACCTTTTTCGAGCGAGAAACCTATCTAGAAGTAAAACCTCCGCCAAAATCCCTATTTAATGAGCAAGCTTGTATCCCCGACTATATTTAGTTCAAAAGTAACCCACAACCATAAGTAAGGGACAGCTGAAAGACACCTTGCACCTGTAAGCAATCTTCCTCTTGCCCAGATGTCGGGAATAAATGGTTGTAGATGACTGGAACATTGTTAAATAAGATGCATACTACCAAACAAACTTTTGAAATAAAGATAGAAGTTGCGCATCTGTCTATTGAAAGCCTTCCTCACTGACATCATTGATATAAGCTCCTCCTCGTTTCTCTTCATTTGCAAGTAAGCGGGGGCTTTGATTTATATATTATTATACACGCCATGCCGTTTAAATACTCCGCCTTCATAAACAGTATGACTGATGATAGTAAAGTTTTGTTTCATAGTCAAATAAAACACTTTCCCTGTCACCAAAATATGAAACCCAGAATAAATGAGATGTACAAGCATCTGAATATATTTTTTATCATTATTCCTTTTCCTGTCTTCATAATAAGTGAACCACAGAAAAAAATGAAGCCAATCAAGACCATACACGACAGACAGTGCGGTAGCCGGATTGCAGTTTACACACTGTGCATTTATGGGTTTGACACATTTTCAATCTGTAATACGAATAACAATTATTCAATAAGGGATACGAATGAGTTTATATTAGTGTACCTCGCACAAGACAACTTTTTATGTTATTTTTTATTATTATGAAAGAAAAAAATGATTTTAAAGCTACTAAATGACTATATATCACATGTATTTTAATGTTAACATGCTTATAACAATTGTTTAAAGCACTGCTTTTAAATGTGTGGTTAACATGTAAGAATTGGTGAACAATCATAACAACAACAACGACGAAGAAGACGGCAACTTTGATAATATTTTTTTAAAGTATTCGATAAACACGTACGGCGCAGATTATTTCGGTGTATCTAAAACCTTGACTTAACTGCAATATGTAGAAGATCGATCAAACTTATTTGAGAAGGCGCATTGTTTAAATATAAAGAGTTCAACATTGCTATTGAACCAGCACAATAACAAGCGTTGGTTATTTAAAGATAATTACGAAATATGTTTTGTTCGTATACAAAAGAATCTTTATGGTTTTAAAAACTTGTTAATTACTTTACAATCATGCAAAGGTAAAATAAGATAATTGAATTATTATAAATTATGTACACTGGCGGAATAAAGAAACGCCTCACATTAAGATATCGTATTTTAAAAATACAATGAGAAGTAACCGAGCATTAAAAAGTACATGTGTTATGGGCGACTATTATGTTAAATTTATAACACAAAAGGCTCGAACCAAGTCACCGTCCTTAATCACTCATGCCTACGCATTTGTGTTTAAGTGAAAACGCAATCATAACATAAGCTCTTTCCTGGCCAGCATGTTTGACAGTCTGCAGCTCAAAATAACACGCTTGGAACATAAACGTCCTATTCTGCCACAAACCGTCTTGCAGCAGGAGTGGAACAGTATTAGACATTACCTTCTTCAAAGGAAATTGACTGCCAGTGTTGGATGAAAAACAATTTATTGATTTTGAAAATGTAATGTAGATGGCGGTGCCTAAAACTTGTCTGGTGTTGACTGAATATCGTTGTATAATGTTACCTGAAACGTAAAAATGATTGACCATTAATCCTTTTTTGATTGAAATTAATTTCTGACATTATTTATGAAATTGGATATAATATGACAATGCAAATTAGGATGCAGCGTTTTTTTATTCTGTAAGTGTATGTTTTTTCACAGTTGTCGAAATCTACGCAATTAATTCGATATCATAACCAAACATAACTGACCGATCGGATATAAAAGTGTAACAGACCATATTTGAATAAAGATAGTAAAGACAAATTTATGGAATGTATGATTTTTGTTTAACAGATAGATATTCAGAGGTGACTAAGTGTTGTCAAAAGCAATAAAAATGGATTTACGTCCGGAAGAGGTTGATGGTTTATCTTTAGAAGAGGCTGCTGTCTGGTTGGATGCCAAACAAATATCATATGAACTTTTAGAGTCGCATGAAGAAATGTTACATCTTATAAAGGCAAAATTAGCAAACGCTGAAACCCCATATGCCAAACAGCACATACACGTAAGTGAATTGTAATTACGTTAGCCCATTACAAGATATACACGCTTTTTAACGCCTTTTTCACCCCACCCTTTTTGTTGTCTTAAATGGTGAAAAGATGCCTTTTTAGACCCACAATACTTGTTTTCGTTTGAGAAATGTTGTTTTAAAAAGCGACCATTTTTTTCGGCGCCGCCCCCTTTCCAAAATGAAACATCAGGGGGCTGCCAGAAAGGGGATGTGCCCCTTCTGTTTGGGGATTTGAAGGGGGTGCCAGTCCCCACCAACCCCTCATCGCCAAGAAAATTTTGGACTTGTGAGAGGCTAGAAATGACCCCAGGTCGATCATAAGGTAACGTGTAACCTACGCTGAAAAGTCTTTGACTCTATCCAGAAAGATAAGTTTTTAGATGTGTTTGTAATGATGCACTGTTTCTTGCTATCATTCTATATAATTTTAGTAATCATGCCTTTATTTAGTTTCGCCCAATGCTTTCTTGCTTAGCGTTCACATAATTTTTTAGGTTTTTATGGAATGGTGCTAGCGTGTAACATTGAAAGTTTCATGGTAACCGCCATATAAACACATCTACAAAGGTTTCTAAATTAACAATATCACCAATTTCTTGTTTGAATGTTGGATTTTGCTTAGGCTGGTGCTATGGATCGTGAACGATAGCTTGTAATTACGACTTCAGTCCATGAACAGGGTCAATCAAACCGAGCTTGCAACTTTTTCAATTTACCGTGTTGGACATTCTTTGGTATATTGTTTTCTCTATTTTGATGTAATGAACTGTCATTTTCATGTCGAAGCTTTGTTATTACACTGGTAAAACTTTGTTTTAAAATAGAATATGCACGATTATGAGAAATAATTATGTAAGCGAAAGGTTGTTTGGAATCACCGACCTCATTTTTGACCTTGAATGAAAATTTGGTTTAATTCAAGGGTAAATATACCCTAATAAAGGTTATGGTAGGGTGACAATCAAGCCATTCAGAAACTTGAGCCCGGACCCATTTTTAACAAGGGGTGTCATATACCAAAATGTTCCAATATATTCGTTGTTTCTAAAACTGCCGGCATAAATTGGCATAAATGGTGACAAAGATGCCGTCCAAGATGGCCGCCAAAATATAGAAATAACAACTTTCCTGCATTTTTGAATGGAAAACTTTTCACACATACAAAATTAGTATCTATTTTTAATGTAAAGATATCTTTTAATATACACAGGCTGAAAATTGTGGCGAAAAATAATGAAAAATTGCTAAAATTATAAGATGTCCGAACATTTTCCCTTGTAATAATGCAATTTAAAAAATAATTGATATACTATTGGCTATTTTACAAGAAACCATCCTCTGCATAAGAAATGTGCTATTTTTTAAATATATAATTGTATTTTTTTTAGTGGGTGGGGTACAATAATAATTTAATCAAAATCACAAATTTATTGTAAGTTACATTACTTTTATGTATTTAAATTGTTATTTTATATAAACTACTTGAAAGACTTTAATCAATAATTTATTACAAAATTCAGTAACTTTTGGATAGAGTATGCAAGATTGCTAAGAGTTTTATAGGAAATTTAGCACTATAAGTTGAACACAGTGTTTCAACTGAACCTTATAAGTTTATGCTTAAATAATTTACTTGCATTTATTTCGCTTATCCAATTTTAAACAATCATTTAATGTATTTCTTGTATGTTTTCATATTTTAATATTAAAACTTATTCAAACAACTACGCTTTCTTTGGTGAGTTTCAACATATTTTAGGTAAGAGTAATCAGCCAAATAAGGCACATTTGATAATAGAAAATTTCCTGAAATAGGTAAAAAGGAATGTTATTGTAGGAAGACTTTAGAACAAGAGGGTCATTGTAGACATATTTTGCACACCATGTTGACAACTGTAACTTCTGGTGATTTCATCTTAAAAATGGAAATATAGGGACAGGAAAAGGCACGATCAAAATCTAAATTTGATAATGATCAAAGTTTGTTATGCCAAATTGTTAATATCTAAGGTCTAAGTGATATATAGAATAGATTGCTTTTTTCAAAAGTATAGAAAATTTCCTGATATAGGTAAAAAGGAATGTTATTGTAGGAAGACTTTAGAACAAGAGGGTCATTGTAGACATATTTTGCACACCATGTTGACAACTGTAACTTCTGGTGATTTCATCTTAAAAATGGAAATATAGGGACAGGAAAAGGCACGATTAAAATCTAAATTTGATAATGATCAAAGTTTGTTATTCCAAATTATTAATATCAAAGGTCTAAGTGATATATAGAAAAGATTGCTTTTTTCAAAATTGGATTTACTTAAAAACCCCAACAAAAACAACAACAACAAAAAAAACACTAATTACTTCGTCTTTAATGCCACCAGACTTTCAGAGATCATCAATGTTAATTTGGATTGTGTGTTTATGAATAAATTTTTCCTTTAAAAAGTTTTGCGTTACGCAATTCACTTTTAATACAAAAAAAAACCCGACAAACTTGCAATTCACTTGCATGGATAGTAAACTTTGCAGATATAACTGGAGCAGTGGCGGTATTGGGTTGACACGTTAAACTTAATATGAAGGCCTTTAACCTTGATGCTTAAAAGAACTGTTTTTTAATCATTAAATAAGCATATTGAAATGGAAGACCCAACAATGTGATTGAGTGAGAAAAAAATGTTGGTAGTGATGAACAAGGTGATGTTACTAACTTAATCAGGTACAAAGAGTTTAATGCAAAAAAAAATCCTCGTCAACATTAGCCAATTGGTTTCTAAGAAGATCTCCCGTTTGAAGAAAACGCGAACACATTGAAAAATAACAAAAAAAGTTTAATAAGCTAAATAAAGAAAGGGACATTACACCAATGCACTGTATACATATAAAAAGAGAGAAGATGGTTAAAAAGCGAGCCAAATCTCCAGTTTTTTGACAACAGTCCAAAACCCTATGACCAATGTATAAGTACTAATCTGTAAATTGTTGTAATTAAAATGTACTCAGCAATTAAATTTGCCATCTGGTCAACTGAATTCTTGATTTGGACCCAATTGACATCTATGTGTCTAGATACAGTTCACACATTCATGTATATCTGAAAAGCACTAATGAGAAAATAGCTCAGGAATTTGGCAATAGTAACGCCTAATATGTGCAATATACGGCTGTTACGAGCAGTACATACATTAATTAAACAGAAATAATATCTTATAGTTATAATATTTTATAAAATGAATTAGCAGACATTTAAAAAGAAAATCAGTTATACATTTGCTTTTCAAGATCATTGACGTAGGAATTATAACCTGGCGACCGTATGGGATTCAACAATGATTATAATTACAGTAAAAATGTTTTAGATAACTGTTTTTTTTAGCTCACCTGACAACAAAGTGGTCAAGGTGAGGTATAGTGATGGGGCTATGTCCGGCGTCCTAACTGTCTAGCAGTCACAGTTTTGATTGGATCATTGTCAAACTTTGTCAGAATGTTTGTCTCAATGAAATACAGATCAAGTTCGGATGGGTTATCTCCGGTCAACAACTAGGCCACAGGAGCTAAAAATTGAAAAAGTTTATTAACACTCTACTGGCTGCAGTTTTGATCCAAATATTCTGGAAATTTGTCAGGAAGATTATTTTAATGATTTCTAGGTCAATTTAGAAGATTGGTCATCTCCGGTCAAAAACTAGGTCACAGGATTTAAAAATAGAAAAAGCTTGTTAACACTCTAGTGGCTGTAGTTTTGATCCAAATATTCTGGAAATTTTTCAGGAAGGTTCTTTTGATGATTTCTAGGTCAAGTTCGAAGATGGGTTATCTCCGGTCAAAAACTAGGTCACATGAGCTAAAAACAGAAAAAGCTTGTTAACACTCTAGTGGCTGCAGTTTTGATGCAAATATTCTGGAAATTTGTCAGGAAGGTTGTTTTGATGATTTCTAGGTCAAGTTTGAAGATGGGTTATCTCCGGTCAAAAACTAGGTCACAGGAGCTAAAAATAGAAAAAGCTTGTTAACACTCTAGTGGCTGCAGTTTTGATATAAATATTGTTGAAATTTGTCAGGTAGGTTGTTTTGATGATTTCTAGGTCAAGTTCGAAGATGGGTCATCTCCGGTCAAAAACTAGGTCACAGGATTTAAAAATAGAAAAAGCTCGTTAACACTCTAGTGGCTGCAGTTTTGATACAAACATTCTGGAAATTTTTAAGGAAGGTTGTTTTGATAATTTCTAGGTCAACTTAGAAGATGGGTCATCTCCGGTCAAAAACTCGGTCACAGGAGCTAAAAATAGAAAAAGCTCGTTAACACTCTAGTGGCTGCAGTTTTGATACAAATATTCTGGAAATTTTTCAGGAAGGTTGTTTTGATGATTTCTAGGTCAAGTTAGAAGATGGGTCATCACCGGTCAAAAACTAGGTCAGAGAAGATTACAATAGAAAAATCTTTTTTACACTCTAGTGGCTGCAGTATTGATCCAAATATCCTGGAAATTTGTCAGGAAGGTTGTTTTGATGATTTCTTGGTCAAGTTTTAAAATGGGTCGTCTCCAGTCAAACATTAGGTCACATTGCAAAATATGGAAAACCCTTTTAACACACTAGAGGTCACATTTTTGACTCAATTGTCATCAAACTTGGCCAGGATGCTTGTCTAAGACATTGCTTGGATGCAGTTGAAGGGTCAAGGGAGCGATCCAGGGCCATCATGGCCCTCTTGTTTTTGTTTTTGTTTTTTTTTTTCAGTGTAACCGAGCTATTTTCTAAACTTCTCATATTTTATAATTTAGAAATAAGCAGACATTATATGTTTGAGCCACTTTCTAAAAGGTAATACCATTGTTATGAATTATGCTCCTATACAGCACATGTAACTTCATAAAAAATGCCTCAAGTCTTATATGTGACCAGTAGATCGGAATGTTTTGGTTATATCTAACATTAAAAGCAATATTGAATTATAATTACACCAACTATTAACATCGAAAATTTGCCTTCAATTTAGTCAGGTTGTCATTCTTAACACTTTCCATGGCATATTGGTTTTATGGATTCAATAAATGCATGTAAAATGCCTGAGCAGCCTTATGCGGTTATTTATTTTTCTTTCAATTTATCTTGTTATATACTGTGTCTGCTTAATGCGTTGTTTGTTTTACTTATTGTGTTGTTTGTAAAGACCAGTATATTGCACAGATTCGGAGTAACTACTTATTCATAGCAATTGTTTTGTACAAACTGAGTAATGAAAAAACATTTCAATTAAATGTAAAATGAAACTTTATTGCATCTGTAATCAAGAATATTGAAAGTTCAGTGTTGTTGTTGTTGTTTTTGTCGAATCGTATAAAAACTAAAAGATATTTTGTTAGGTGGTAGCATTTGTAGTACCCATAACAGTTACCAAGGATACGCAGCAACGCTATATTCGAAAACAGGCTTTGATGATCATGTATGCAAAAAATGGCTAAAACTATTGTAATATAATAAACAGAATCTTATTATTTTGAGATATTGTCATGATAATTTTGATAACACTTCTCGAACGTTTGCAACGTGCCTATTCTTTCGTACATTAAGCTACTGAAAGTACGAGGTTTTTAAAAACTTTTCACTTGGTATATAAATTCAAAATATAAATGTAGTGGTCTACTATAAAAATAATTATATGAAACATTAATTTTTGTTTTGCGTTTATTTTTCTGTAAAATTTTCTCTTCTGTGAAAACGATAATGATTCATTCATATTTTACAAGACAAGATACTAAAATTTACCGAAATTCAAGAATAATAATCATTAGTTAGCAATATTTCAACTAATTTTCATTTGTTTTTAATTTAATTTAATTTGACAAAGTTTAAGAAAGCATTTTTACATTGAAAGTGAATCGCATTGGACCTCTGAAATGTTAATTTTGGTACATGTACATTCAATATAAAAAGCAAAATTAAGATTAGTTGTTACAATTAAACTGCGCAAAATCAATTGTTTACAATATTTATAGTATATTTAAGATTTTAAGTGTTACCCACTATATTTCTACTATGCTTTTCTATTTTGACCATGAAAATCTTTTGTAACTTACGGTAAACGTAAACATCTGAAATGTATTTGATTGAGTGACGCAAAAAAAATTATATCACCTTGTTATTGATGTCATATTTAAATCCCTCAAATTTACAACATTGTAAACGGTAATTTCTTTATTCCCCATCAACTCACATGCACAGATCACTGCAGGAAACATCACCAGAAATGCTACAATATATGTTATAAAGTTATGTATACTGGTATGATATACAAAAAGTACACAAATGTTCATGTATATGTAAAAAAGTCAATAAAAATGAAGAAAATGAGAAATTACAAATAGATTATTTATCAAGCGCTGTCGGAGGACAGCGACGCTCATCAATTCGAAAAGTTGTCACAAGGTTGTTTCGTTGAGTATAATAATGCTTCCCTATATGAATACATAAAATTGTCCCTAAAAGGTACAAAGGCTTGTCATCATCGGGTAAATCACTGCTTGATCATTATGAATGCATACAATTGTCACAAAAACATGCACAAAACCTGTCAAAAAGATGTTTTATTGAGGGAACATATAATTTTTCATAAAATTGTAAACCAAGGTCTTTTTGTAAAATATATATGCCATCCACGCAAAAATTTATCCAAAATTTGTAATTCGAAATAGAGGCATTAATATGCATAAAGGCAAATCAGAGTTATGGGACTTGTGCCAAATACGTTCAGTGACGTTAGAAAGTCACAAAGAACAAGTTTATGAAGTTTCAATTCTATCCCCTCAGTAGTTATGGAGATACTAGCTTACATGCAAAAACTTAAGCAAGAATTTCTAAGTCGAAAAAGGGGCATTAAAATGCAAAAAAAGCAAATCAGAGTTATGGGACTTGTGCCAATCATGTTAGATTAACACAGAGAAGAGAACAAATTTATAAAGTTTCAATCCATTCACTTCAATAGTATGTAGATACCAGCTTACACGTTAAAACCTAACAATAGGGACGCCGACGCCAATAAATGGGTCTTAGCTCGATTACTCAGCGAATAGTCGAACTAAAATATAGGTGTTTTCTTTAATTCAAACAATTTTCTCTTCAAAATGATTACAATTCTTGCCTATTCTATTGCACAATTACTTCATTTGTTAAATATGATAGAGCTAATAAAGCTGTTTAATAAACTTGTTTAGTATAAAGTTATATACAATTAATTTGTGATAAAGTCACTTTTGATATTATACCACACCCACTCAGAAATACACATTATTTTCAAAAAATTCTATATAATGAAAACACTCGGCGGTATTTTTCTTATATAAGAAGTTTGTTTCCCATTATATAAGACATAATAAAACAATTTACATTTTGTATATGTGATCTGCACGAAAAACATGGGAAAATGAACAGGAAATCTTTAAATATTATCTTTTCTGTACCTCTTTTGTCGCGTGTTATCTGCTTTTTACTATAAACAACACTTTTATAATACAACTTCATTCCTGACATCAATTTGATACAGGAATGCAATAAAAGAACAAAGGCATCTGTTTTAACTGCTTAAAATTAATCAATAATGACTAAGTGGTACTTTCATAATTTTGGCGGCCATCTTGGATTTCTTTGTTTGCCACCATTTATGCCAATTTATGCCGGCAGATTTCTTATTTGTGCCGTGTGGCGGCTATTAAAAGTCTCCCCGTAAATTTAATCAATGATGTTATATTTCGATCCTTGAAGATCGTATAGCACAACATTATTGTTGTGTGAACATGTTATGTGGTACTTTTAGTTTCTTTTTTTTTTTTTTTGGCAATTTTCAACTTGGGTGGTTCCAGTATTCCTACTTGAATACTGTATAATCACCCTTAGGATATGTTGCCTGCTTTTTAAATTTGTCTTTTGACGTCTAATCTGTGATATGCAGGCTTCATAACCTTAGATCGCCTTTCAAAATTCCATTTTATTTAGTTCCGCCCATTGTTTTCTCGTTTAGGGCAAAAGCATTCCTTTACTTGGGGACCATACGCCGCTTTCATGGAATGACACTTCTGTGTCACATTGAAGGTTCCATGATAACCGCCGTATGAACACATCTGCGGATGTTTCTAAATTCAAAATTTCACCATTTCGCGTTAAATGTTGATTTCTGCTTAAGCCGGTGCTAGGGTCGTGGACGGTAACTTGCACTTTCCAGTACCGTCCATGAACAGGCTCAATCAAACCGAGCCTGCAACATTTTCAATTTTGTTGTGTTGGGCTTTCTTTAGGGATTCTGCATTACTCTATTTTTGGAAACAACAAACATTTAGGGATATTTTTGTATATGACATGTCTTGTTAAAAATGGGTCCGGGTAGCCCCTATAAATAGGCTATTGTTTTCGTAATTGTCACCCTACCATTAGCAAGTAAATAATTTTCTTGTTTTTTCATATAACTGCCTTCCTTTCCGTGTTATTCTGCAAATTTTCAAGAAATGATAATGAGTAGTTTGTTTATCGTTTTCTGTATTTAACCTATGTCATATTGCTATTGATTATGATCAAGTAACCTATTTATCATATTTTATTTACAGTTTTAAAATTGTTACTATGTGTACAGGTTATGATGCAAATTGAGCGGATAAGGACTATCATTGCCCTCTTGTTTGCAGCGTTAACATTAAAAAATGAGCATAATAAAATATTAGTTTTTAATAGTTTTTTTATACTTATGTTACAATTAGACTGAAAAGCAGATGTCAAATGTTATTAGAGAAGGTAGTACTATGAAGAATGAATTGCATAAAATATATAAGGACCTCCAAACATTTGTTAAAGACGGCTTAGGAGACGAATTAAGAGCACATATCAACACGATATACACTGATATTGATGATCGTCTGGTGAAAAACATTGATGATCTAATTCAGTCAGAGAATGTCATTATTGTTGCAGGTATGTAACGATCGATTATCTAAATAGTAGCAAAAATCTATCAGCTTAAATACTTCTACTATAGTCACATATAAACATATGGGCAAGATAAAGAGAATTTATTTAACTTTACATTGTCTGAGAAGTAAAACATAAACATTTTAAGCGAAAACTTTTAACGGTCATCGAGTAAGGTTATTGGTTTTCTTATCTTTTATCTATTTCTTGTTTACATGGCTACTGTTTCACAATAAAAAGGTTAAGTTTTAAAATTTTAATGTGCTTTCATTTTAATTGTAGTTCATAAGGCTATAAATGGTGATTGTCTTCTTTAACTACTTTTTTTACAAACAATAGTGGAGGACATGTGCTAAGAAGTACATTAGATACTGCTCTATTTGAAATTAAATTTTTCGTATTTGCTGCAAAAATAGCATTTGTCTGCACTTAACAGACCTTAAACTGGAGTTTGCCATTCATGAAATGTGCATAATAGTTATTGTTACCAATTAAATTTGTGTTAATTTGTGGCATACTTTCATTTTGAACCCTCTTAGTGAAAAAAACATAGCTGACAAAGTGGAATCACCTTAACATTATGTATCATATTATTTAAATCACATGTTTTCAATATAAAGATGTACTAACAAAACAAACCATTTTTTCTTAAAGGTGAAACAGGCGCAGGAAAGAGCAGTTTTCTTAATTTGCTGATTGGAGCTGATATATTGCCATGTTCCGTTCTGTCTAACACTTCAACAATTTGTAAAATTCACAATGATAGTTCTAAAAAATTTAAAGTGGTTGATGAAAATGGTGAAAGTGAATCATTTTATATAAATGGTGAAGGATCGGATGCAGAAACGAAGATTTTGAAGGAGCTTTCTCCATTCGTAGGTCGATCAAACTATGGACCAATGAACATAATCAAGCATGTTGACATATATTGGCCATTTAATTCAATAAAAGTAAGCTTGTCGTTATGAGCTGACATATATAAGTAATTCATTCGTGTCTTTCATGATGAAACTGACAAATCCTTGCACTCCCTATAAATAGATTATTTTCTTGCGTTTTTCTGCAACAACAGAAATATCTTATGAGCAGCAAATCATTTTTATCATTCAGTATTATATGTAAAATAATAAGATACATTTGTTTAATGTATAACTCAATCTTAAAAAGACTCTCAAGTTTGTCAATAATGAAGTATACAATTTCTAGTATTACATATTCGTTTAAGTTTATATTTTATTAATGTTTAAATTATTAGATATTGCTGTTAAAATTGATATTTTGACAGGAAAGACTATTTTGTGAAAACATAAGTCTTCTTACAGGAAAATATGACTATTGTTGACTCACCTGGTGTTGGAGAATGCGACGCAATGACAGAGAAGTTGGTAAAATACCTCCCGAAAGCAGTTGCTTTTATATATATTCTAAATAGTGCAAATGCTGGAGGGGTCCAGGAAGACACAGTAAGTCAAAATAACGTTTGGGACTTAGTTATAATTTAAAATTGTGAACCCTAAAGAGAGAATTTCTGCAAGCTGTTTGTCGTTTACAGTTAAGCTATTGATTAAACGATGTTAAAGAAATAAATTAAATATGTTTATGTAGCTTGTTATATCGCAAGTCAACGCTTATAGCAATAAGATATACAGCTAACTTACCAGAAGTTGGATAACGGGTATGTACGAGGGTTGTTCAAACAGTAATAGGACTGCAGCTCTACTGTTCACATTTTTTATATACGTACACAATTTTTCACGAGGCAAATATCGGAACATGTTCTCTATATACAGTGAGAAAATCAATACAAAATGTTCACAAATAAAAATTATGTGAACTTTTCAAATGACAAGGGGTACGAAACGCGGCGCACGCTAACAAAACAATAATTGACGTTCATGACGTCGTAAAATAAATAGAAATTGTAATAAGCGTTATTCTTTCTGAAAGTAGTCTCCCTTGTCTCTAGGTGTATGAAGCATGTACCTTTTACTAGGCATCATATATGGAGATGAAGCAAGAAAAAAGAGCAATCAAATTCTCGTTCCACTGTTTCAAAAAAAAAAAATATATATATATAAAATTGCCCAAAAGCCGGCCATTCTCCGTTTTTTTGTGTGTTTTTTTTTAAAAACATGGGATGAGTAGGACATAAATGTTAATACAAAAGCAATTTATATTATTAATCTACGCATATCATCGTATGTTTTTAAATCCGTATGATTGATTACGGAACAATAACAATGTTTATCAATTGAAAAGTATACTTTTATACCTAGCACAGTCTATCGTTTATCAAAACAAGTTTTGGGAAAACACTACTAATTATTACCGTTAATGATTACAAGAATTCATTAATTACTCGTTTATCTAGTTAAATACAATAAAATAGTGTTTATAACAAATGTCTTACTTACAATCCTTAAAACTGAATAAGTAAACCCGAAGGAAATACAAAGAACGATAAACAGTTCACGATAAACAGTTTACCGTGGATTCTTTTATAGCGCTTTTGAAATTGACGGCCCTAACGTCCCGTCAATTTTCACTTTTTATCCTCGCCCTTTTCCGTTAGACATCTTGTATTCTCAGTTTTTGAATTGCTTGTGCCAGCTAAAAACGATTGTCCCGATGGCAGGATAATTTTCCTTTGTTAATTGAATCATTTTGTGTGTATCTGAATGATTATAGTCAATCTGTTGGCAAATTTTAACCATCGCAAATATTTTTAGTTTGTTAACGAACGTCATATTTCTACATCTAACGCTATGACCGCTGCAGTTCAAAACTTAATAATTAGGCCATTTCATGTCCGAATTATGTCAACTTTGGACATAATGTCATACATAGATACAATTAAACGTATTGATGGAATACAGTGAAAAACAGATAGTAAATGATGAAAACATTAGAAGTACAACGTATCTCCAATAACTATATTAATGTACTGCGCCGGGTGCGTGTTACCATGGTTATTCAATAGCACAGGAAACACGCGTTTAGCACAATAGATTAAAAAACTTACGCTTGAATTCTAGAACACATTTTACGATCGCTGTACATATGAAAATATTCTAAATTGAATGAAATTTGAATACTCAAGACTCTCAGTCCTATTACTTTTTGAACAACCCTCGTATAACTGCCATCATGACCAATGGCTGTTGACATTAAACCATTTACTCGCGCCGCTGTAGGTTCGAATCCCTCCAGGGACTTTACTTTGAATTATTTCATGTTAGGAAGCTTACCAGCTAGGAAACAGAACGTCAATGGTTCTACTCAGGTGCCCACTCGTGCCTGAAAAAAATACGGAGGACATGAGGTCTTCTTTTACCAGTTAAACTAAAAAGTTGCAAATGACATTAACTGTGGTAGTGCGACGTAAAACCAAAACCACAAAAAATATAACTTACTTAGACTGAAACATATCTGATATTATCATGACATGTCAACATGTCATGTGAGATATTGATAAGGTAATTCATCACGATCATTGTGTCACTGTTTTATCTACGCTCAGGGTTTTAGGTATGAGATCAACATTGATTTGACATAATTTTGTTGTGATTAATGCTTCCGAGGATTCACTTTGTTTTCAGATTTTTATACATCACAACAACAGGTGTCAAGTGCTGTGTTGCAGCTGTAAAAAGTTGCCCCGTACTTCACTTCAGTGTTGTTATATTTTTCTGGTCCTTCAAATCATTGATGTCAGCACTATTAAGTGTTGAGAATTGAGTACCGCTCAAGCTCGTGCTAGGGACCGTGAGGGATGTTGCACGTATTCATTATCCCTCATGTACAGACTCAATCAAACCGAGTCTGCAGTTCTCTTGTAATTTTGTTGTGATTAATGCTTCCATGGGATCACATTGTTTCAAGATTTTTATATTTCAAAAATACTAAAGATGAGCTCTGATTTTGTAAATTTAAAGAAGTCTTATCAATAACAAATCTTACATGGAATCTAAAATAGAAAACTAAACAAAACACCAAGAACCGGGTTTAAAAGTGTTCAGCAACAACATGTGATAATGGTGAAATTAAGTAATTTTTCTAAACATCCACAGATATATTCACACGGCGGTGATCGTGGAACATCTAACTCGCATTCAATGAAAAGCGGTGAATGGACAACTATTAAAAGAAAGGGAGACAACAATGGGCGGAAAAGAAACCATAAAATCATTTATAAATTCACGTAATTAATTTAATTAAACAACATGTTGCAAGGATATTAATTGTTTGGTCTAAAAGGAAAGGATATAACTAATAAGATACAAATGATTTAATATAACACTATAATATAAAGAAAAGCAGAATCTCTAAAGAAAGCCCAACACGGCAAAATTGTAAAATGTTACAGGCTCGGTTTGATTGAGCCTGTTCATGGACGGTACTGTCGAGTGCAAATTACCGTCCACGTCCCCTAGCACCGGCTTAAGCAGAATTCAACATTTAAACACAAAAATGGTGAAATTTTCAATTTAGAAACATTCGCAGATGTGTTCATACGGCGGTTATCATGGAACCTTCAATGTGACACAGAAGTGTCATTCCATGAAAAGTGGCGTATGGTCCCCAAGTAAAGGCATGCGTGGGCCCTAAACGAAAAAACAATGGGCAGAACTACATAAAATGGAATTTAAAAAGGTGATCTGAGGTTATGAAGCCTGCATATCACAGACAAGACGTCAAAAGACAAATTTTAAAAGCAGGCAACATATCCTAAGGGTGATTCTACAGTATTCAAGCCACCCATGTTGAAACAGGCCAAATACAAGAAACTAAAAATACCATCTAAAATGTATATACAACAATAATGTCGTGCTGAAGACCTTTTGAGAGCAAAGAAGAGCAAGTGTTCTTTCCCACATTTGTATGTTTGCGAAATTTTGACAATGAAGAAAAATAAATATTCATTTGTAGTTTCTTATTCCAATGTATCAATTAAACATGCACTACTGATCCTAGAACATATTTCCTTTGCAGATTTTAAAAATAATACATGAACAACAGAAGCTTGAAAAAGAATCTAAACTTTCTGGTTTTGATCCAAAACATATGATGTTTGTATGCAATAAATGGGATGTTGTGATAAAGCGTGGAGAAACTGAACGAACGTGGCAGGACACAGTACGAAAACTTAAGATGATCATTCCTGAACTATCTGTGGATCAAATATTTAAAATGAGTGTCACAGAGGTAGTGGTCTTAATTTTCTTTTGTATTTTAAAGTATCATTCTTTTCAACTTTTCTCATCCTGAAAAGTTTCACATAAAGCCCCTAAACGTAAATGTATTTTTTATATGGTACGAATATTGTCACTGGACATCAATTGCAAAATGTTTAGTTCTTATAAACACCATGTCTTTACATGCTTCGTGTTCATTGATATGGCAATTTTGTTAGGACGCCTTAAGGTAATGGCATAAGGTCATACGCTATACCAAAAGAAATAGGAAAAATATATGTTTCCATATAGCTAGTCAGGTTCGCAGGTACGACTTTATTGATTTATTAGATTATGAGCATGCGGAATGTCAAATATACCCACAGCATGATATTTATAACGCTTAGTATCTGTTATGGAAATAAATAGTCATATTCTGATGATTTTGTAAAATGCTAAGTGTAATAAAATGATTCTTAGCTCACCTGATCTGGCTCATGGTAAGCTTTTAATATCGTTGAATGTCCAGCATCTGTCGTCCGTCCACATTTACTTCGTTAACACTAATACTCACATTTTATCGTCCATGTATTTGCTCGGACGAGTTCGAACATGGATATCTGGGATGAAAAACTTAAGTCACAGGGTTTACAAAAGGAATCTTGGTAAACTGTAGTGGCAACTGTTTGCTTCCAAATATCCTGAAAATCAGTTAGAAAAGTTGTTAAGATGATTTCGATGTCAAGTTTGAATATGGATTGTCTGTGTTCAACACTATGTCACACAGCCTAAATAAGACAGAAACGTTCTTTATAATCTAGATGCTACTGTTTTGGACCAATATTCTGAAATTTGGTCGGACAGTGGTTTAGATGATTTATATCTCTAGTTTGGTATTCTGGGTTTAACAACTAGGTCACCCAGCAGAAATATGGAAATACATTGTTAACACTGTACAAGAAACATTTTAGACCAAATATCCTGAAAAATGGTCAGATGGGTAGTTTTGATAATTTCTAGGTCAAGTTTTAATATAGGTCATATGAGGTCAAAAACTTGGTCAAATAGCCCAAATATAGAAAAAACCGAAAGGCTTCTGTTTCGGTCAATATGTTCTGGAAATTGGTGAAAAGGGTTATTAAGAATATTTCTAGATCAGAATATGGGTCACATATCTTAAATACAGTATGGATAAACACCCTAGAGAAAACATTGTTAGAGCAAATATCCTGAAAATGTGTCAGAAAGATTGTTTTGGCGATTTCTATCTCAAATTCCAATATGAATAATCTGGGGTCAAAACTAGGTGAAAGCCCTATAGAAAAATCTTGTTTATGTTTGCACTATTTCAGGTAAACGTTATAATATCAGTTTTAGTTATGACACATCTGCTTTTTTATGAATTGCCAACAACAATCAGTTAATAGCCTTAATAATCAAGTGAGCGATATGAGGGCGATCATGGCTCTCTTTTTATCATATTCGTTTGTCACAATGCCTTTTACTTACAGTTTTACACTGTACATAGTTCCCTAAAAATATTCGTGTAGAGGCATGAATATATTTTATGAAATTGATTAAATAAATGCCCTATTTTCATTCAAATACAAGAGCTTTATTTCTTTTTATCCATACAAGTTAGATCTTGTATGACATAGATTCCATGCATAAAACATAATTAAACGATATTTCTACGATACATTGAGCACGCTATTTCATTATTTCCCGATCACATTTAACAATAAAGCAGTATTAGATTTAAACACACTACGAGGGCAACATGTGAAAAATACTTTTATCAAAACAAACGTTACATGATTAAAAGAAGACTATTCTGACGCTTTATAGTTTATTAAGCTCTTTTAATTATACCCCCAAAAACGAAGTTTGGGGGGTATATAGGAGTCACCCGGTGGTCGGTCGGTTGGTCGGTCGGTCGGTCGGTCCAGACGTCCGTTGCATTTTCCTTGTCCGGAGCATAACTTGAAGACTAATGGTTGGAATTCAATATAACTACATACGAGGGTTGTCCCAAAATGTCGTAGACTACATTATTTTCTCTTCAACCTGACGTCATAACTTAATAAAACTTACCAGATATCTTCCTTGGTCATTTGTTAATTTACATTCTTAAAGTAAATAGTCAATATATAAGGTAACGCTTTTTATCAGGGTTTTATATTAAACAGTACAACATACCCGGAGCACGATAAAATATTAGTCAGTGTTGAGAGCATGCTTCTTAAAAACATGCCTTTAACTGCCAGCATAATAATAATTATGGGAAATACATTCCTGTGGAATGACGTCATTCATTTTTACGTCATATCACCAACAGACGTTTATGTAACATTACTTTGAAAAAATCTGTAGCATAATATGTAACAGCAATGCTATTTTGAAATTTCCCAAAATGGCGACGTCAGATGAAAATGCGGCGCAGCGCGATGTCATTGAATACTGTGTTCAGTTCAAGAAGCGTCCAGCATAAACTGACAACATGGAGAACATTATATTTTATCAAGATAATGCACTTTGCCATAGATCTCAGGAGACACAGCTTGAACTTGATGTGATAGGTTTTTAGAGACTTCCATACGCCCTTAGACTTTGCAGTGTTTCCTTATGTGAAATCACAATTACGAGGTCACCCTGAGGTTCGAAAATTTCAGGGTACTAAGCAAGGAAACTCGACGAGTGTTGAGAACATTAAAACAGGACAATTTTGTAAATGGTTATGATAAATGGGTCGCCCGACACCGACAGTGGATCGAGAATCACGGAGGTTACTTTGAAAAACATTTTTTTTAAATCTTGTAACGTCATGACGTTTATGACGGCGTTCGCCGGGTATGTATAGGTAGCATTCTTTAAATTTTAATAACTTGGTCAATTTTGGAGGTATTTTGATTTTATTTCGCATAGACACACATAAAAGGTGTATTGACTTTTCCCTAGCTTGACGACTCTATTGTTGTATAATTGATTAAGTAACAGACTTTGTCTACGATATTTTGGGACAACGCTCGTACAATGGTCAATCACATTGAGAGGAAGTGCAGTGCACAAGAACCATAACTCTATCTTGACTAATTACAGAGTTATTGCCCTTTGTTTCTTTTTCTTGTCCGGGGCATAACTTGAAAACTACTGGTTGAAATTCAAAACAACTTCATACAATTGTCAAACACAATAAGGGGAAGTGCAGTGCACAAGAACCATAACTCTATCTAAAGTAATTACAGAGTTATTGCCCTTTGTTGCTTTTCCATTGCTTTTTTTTGTCCGTTGCATTTTCCTTTGTCTAGAGCATAATTTGAAGATTAATGGTTGGAATTCAATATAACTACATACAATGGTCAAGCACATTAATAGGAAGTGCAGTGCCCAAGAAACATAACTCTATCTTGACTAATTACAGAGTTATTGCCCTTTGTTACTTTTCCTTGTCCGGGGCATAACTTGAAAACTACTGGTTGGAATTCAAAACAACTTCTTATAATTGTCAAACACAATAAGGGGAAGTGCAGTGCACAAGAACCATAACTCTATCTAAAAAAATACAGTGTTATTGCCCTTTGTTGCTTTTCCATTGCTTTTTTTGTCCGGACCATAACTTGAAGACTAATGGTTGGAATTCAATATAACTACATACAATGGTCAAGCACATTGAGAGGAAATGCAGTGCATAAGAACCATAACACCATCTTAAGTAATTACAGAGTTATTGCCCTTTATTACTTTTCCATTGCTTTCTTTTGTCCGGACCATAACTTGAAGACTAATTGTTGGAATTCATTATTACTTCATACAATGGTTTAGCACATTGAGAGGCAGTGCAGTGCACAAGAACCATAACTTCACCTTGACTTATTAAAGAGTTACTGCCCTTTGTTTCTTTTCCTTGTCCAGAGCATGACTTGAAAACTACTGGTTGGAATTCAAAACAACTTCATACAATGGTCAAGCACAATAAGGGGAAGTGCAGTGCACAAGAACCATAACTCCATCTTGACTAATTACAGAGTTATTGCCCTTTGTTGCTTTTCCATTGCTTTTTTTTGTCCGAACCATAACTTGAAGACTAATGGTTGGAATTCAATATAACTACATACAATGGTCAAGCACATTGAGAGGAAGTGCAGTGCATCAGAACCATAACACCTATCTTAAGTAATTACAGAGTTATTGCCCTTTGTTACTTTTCCATTGCTTTCTTTTGTCCGGACCATAACTTGAAGACTAATTGTTGGAATTCATTATAACTTCATACAATGGTTTAGCACATTGAGAGGAAGTGCAGTGCACAAGAACCACAACTCCATCTTGACTAATTACAAAGTTACTGCCCTTGTTTCTTTTCCTTGTCCAGAGCATGACTTGAAAATTACTGGTTAGAATTCAAAACAACTTCATACAATGGTCAAGCACAATAAGGGGAAGTGCAGCGCACAAGAACCATAACTCTATCTTGACTAATTACAGAGTTATTGCCTTTGTTACTTTTCCATTGCTTTCTTTTGTCTGGACCATAACTTGAAGACTAATTGTTGGAATTCATTATAAATTCATACAATAGTCAAGCACATTGAGAGGATGTGCAGTGCATAAGAACCATAACTCCATCTTGACTAATTAAAGAGTTACTGCCCTTTGTTACTTTTCCTTGTCCAGTACATGACTTGAAAATTACTGGTTGGAATTCAAAACAACTTCAAACAATGGTCAAGCACAATAAGGGGAAGGGCAGTGCACAAGAACCATAACCCCCATCTTGACTAATTACAGAGTTATTGCCCTTTGTTTCTTTTCCTTGTCCAGAGCATGACTTGAAAATTACTGGTAAGAATTCAAAACAACTTCAAACAATGGTCAAGCACAATAAGGGGAAGGGCAGTGCACAAGAACCATAACTCCATCTTGACTAATTACAGAGTTATTGCCCTTTGTTACTTTTCCATTGCTTTTTTGTCCGGAGCATAACTTGAAGACTAATGGTTGGAATTCAATATAACTTCATACAATGGTCAAGCACATTGAGAGGAAGTGCAGTGCACAAGAACCATAGCTCCATCTTGACTAATTACAGAGTTATTGCCCTTTGTTACTTTTCCTTGTCCAGAGCATAACTTGAAAACTACTGTTTGAAATTCAGTATAACTTCATACAGTTGTCAAGGACATTAAAAGGAAATGCAGTGCACTAGAGCCATAAATCCATTTTGACAAATACAGAGTTACTGCCCTTTGATACTTTTCCTTGTCCGGAGCATAACTTAAAACGTTCTGGTTGGAATTCAAAACAACTTCATACAATGGTCAAGCACATTGAGAGGAAGTGCAGTGCACAAGAACTATAACTCAATCTTCAGTATTTATATAGTTATTTCCCTTTGTTCTTTTTCTTTGTCTTTCTGGACTTATAACAGAGTAGTTCAATGAAACTTCATCAATGGCCAACCACATTGAAAGGAAATGCAACATACAAGAACCACAACTATCTTTAATTGCCCACAACCATAACTCTATATTTCAATTCTTTTACAAGTTATTCTGTTACTAGTAACATCCTCATTTCCGAAGCAGTCTTGTGGGGGTATTAATCACATTTAGTGATAGTCCTAGTTTGCGTAAGAAGAGAATTGATTAAACCGGGAAGATAATAAAACATGTATACGTCTAATAGGCTGCCAAATACAAAAAGAGTTCGATAGGAAACACAGAAATGTATCATGTTTTACTTCAAGGACTGCAATCTTTTCTCGAAAAAAACGTGGATGCCAACATAAAAAGACATTACAGGTGAGTCATAATTTATTCTTTTAAATAAAGATTTACATAATTGTTCAATATATACTTGCAAATTAAAGAAAAAAGAGCTGCCATTTTGAGATATTTGGTATTCAGAAAATTTAAATTAAAAAAAAAAAACAACACAAAACAATAATAACCATATTGAAAATATTGAGACTCGACTTGATTGAGCCCACATTTAAATAGCAGCAATGAAATACAACTTAGCTGTTCACTTCTAATAAATGCAGATCTAAATTATTAAACATGAACATTTAAATATGCAGGTTAAAAGGAAAATATAATTACAAGGTTGTTGTATAAAAACTAATCGGAAACTGGAATTTTGTCTTTTTAGTAATAATTCTAGCGTTATTGTTTTTTGCGTTATGAAATACCCGTATTATATTTATATATTACATAGCCTAGTATTTTTTTGGTGCAAAACTTAATATCAAAGAGGATTTCAACCAACTCCCCATAGATAAAAATGTATCTTTTTCATCATGTGTCTCGATGCAGATTGTGTGGTCGAGGGGTTAGAGTCGATGACTTTAAATCCAGTTACCTCTCTGGCTAGGGTTCGATCCCCGGGAGATGCTTTGGTAGTTTAGCGCGGAGGAATGTAGTCTAGTACTGCTGTAACTCTCCAGGAATGATGGTTATGAAACTACCCGCCTATAAGACTGAAATACGGTTGGGGAAAAGGCGTAAAATGAAACAAACAAACAGTCTCGATGCAGACTGTGTGGTTTGCAATTCAATTTTTATCTGGAGAAAACAGGAGGTTACTGACATTTTTTCACTTGTTTTAAATATCACAACTTTATTCAGCTGAGGGGCTTTCAAATGATTCTGTTTGAAAGGTCCTGTTTGGTGTAAGCTCTCATTACGCAGTAGCAACAGAAGAAAAAAATATGAACAATTTTAATCACATACAAAACTCTAAAGAAACAACATAATTTTAATGAAATATTCTTGATCTGATTTTTCTTAAGGTGGATAAACACCCTGCTGACAAGGATTGAAAAATATTTGGTATCAAGGATAAATATTGCCAACATTTCTTCAGAAGAAAGAAACAGAATTTTAAAGCCGTTGCTGGAAAGGCTTGAACTACGTTCGAAGACTTCAGAAGCGGTATGTTTTTCTCTTTCGTTTCGCTTAAATTGTGCTTTAATTGGTTTCTATTTCAACGTTTTGTTTAGTTTGCTTCTGTTGACATTAAAATACTTTGGATTGACAAAAGTGAGAAAATACAGCCCTTCATGAACATATGCATGAGTAAATTTATGCATGTGCAAATGTTTCCACAATACACATGAGACAACGATATCTCGAAAAACGTTTTTGTTTTAGGTACGAAACGGCCTTATTGCAGCAGCCGTTGACGAATGTACTGCTGTGTCAAAACAACTGAAAGAACATCTTAAAAAGGACGACGTTATTTCTTTCCTTGACACCTGGACAGAAGAGGAGTCACCAAACGTTTCTGTCAACGATATCACTGTTATAAAGTATGAAGCCAAAAGTATGATAGTAAAAAGATTACTTCATGTTCTCCACACGTGGGAGTGTGAATCACGCATTGTGGAAAACGCCACTAAAAAGTTAACTGGTTTGTTTAACAGGGAACTCGCAGATATGTCAAAGGAATTTAAAGAAGTAAACGAAATTCTGACTTGCTATGCTCTAGCTGGTATTAGCGGACTTGATCTTGAGAAACTTTCCGGTAATAGAAACTATACGAAATTTTGTATAGTAAAATATCAATGTTATTGATTTATTCATATTTGATTGTTTTGTAATTTTCGATATAAAAAAAAATTGTGTAAATAACATTTTTTAGTTTCTTGATGAGGTTGGTGGTTTTACCCAGCTACCAGTTCATGGCTCAATAATATTAATAAAAAAATTTCTTCTACCTTGAGTGCTGTAGGCTCACTTTTACAGGGTCGGCTTGTCTAAAAAAGGTATGAAACATTTTTCTGTCCTCGAGGTTTTGGGTGGAATTTTGTAAATTTTTTAACTTTTTTTAAATTTTTCTCTATAAGGAAATAATAATTTTTTTCCCCTTCGCGACGAAACAATACAATGACCCAGAACAATTAATTTGGGGATTCTTGAGCAACCCCCCAAATGACCCCGTTGGGTTATAGCACTTGTGTATTTTTTTCCCGCAATTGAAGGGCAGAAGTTTAAAGAAAAATTGGAAAACAAAAATACAAGCAAGGGAAAATTATGAAAGAATGGACACATATGATACTCGATGAGTTGCACAAAAAGGACAGAATATCTGAACTGATTCAAGATTTGTACCTGAAAAAATTGATTATGCAAATTGACTGGTGGTTTTATTATGTCATTCCAAAACAAGTTGTTGCTGATTTAAATCAGGTTACAACAATTTTGACCGATCAAAAAACTGCGGTGGAAATTATTCAGCAATTTCATCCAGTAAAAGTAAAAGTGAAAGATATTTCCAAACTCTTGAAATTATTCGATTTGAAATATTTAGCTGATGATGTTATTGCTATATCAAAGATTTTAAAGCACAGTCAAATCGGAGGAGGGAGTTTTTCGGATGTACATCGTGCAACATGGAAACAGAGTGAGCAAAATGAGAAAGAAGTTGCGTTGAAAGTTCTTAAAGGTCCTGACATGTACTTGCATCTTTGTGAGATTGATTGTTCCAGGTATGGTTATTATTATTCATAAAAAACACGTCCTTTATTTTTTTCTTCTTTGTTAGAATATATAACTAAATGAGTCTTAGAATGTAGATCATTTATTCTGTTTCCTTGTTGCAAGCTTTAAAGATGTCAAAATAAAACATAAGAGATCGGTCATTAGAATTTTTATATTACAGGAAGCTGAAGCACAACAATATAGTTGCTTTTTTCGGCGTCATCTTTGCTGAGCGTGAACGATGCGACGGAAATAAAATTGGCTTACCTTTATTTGATGATCGATTAATGCTCGTGCAGGAGTTGTGTGAACAGAGTTTGGAGTCGTTAGTGTTTGAAACTAAGGAAAAACAATGCGGGTGATTGCGTTTTCCATCACATATTAACTAAATGAGATTTTCTTAATTACTATTAAAATATACTTGATTACTTCATTCATTTAGATCATACATTCATATTTCATTGTATATTCATTAGTGGTTTTTTCTTATTTGCTTAATAGGTCATTCTCAAGCGAATTGCGTCCGAGGGAAACTCATGATTTTTTCTTCAACATGAGCGCATCGATATGTGATGGTCTATGTTATATGCATAGTATGGGTTACCTGCACAGAGACTTAAAACTATCAAATGTTTTGGTATGATATATTTGAAAATATTCCTTAAAACATCTTTTTCTTCATTAAATAAGTCTATTTTGTAGTTGAGAAAATAACGCAATTTGTTGAATCATATATTTGTTGTGACTAAACACAAACAATGACAAAAAGCAGTTATCAGAAATTTTGTTGTGACTTTTTTAAGGTTAAAAATGGGTTGGAAAAATGAGCGTTTGGTTTTGCAAGAGATAGCGTCGTTATGGGGGAGCAGTTGGGACTTTGTCGCAATGGACAGAAAACTTTTTGGGGGGAAAAAGGGGTATAGCTTGCTTCCCATTTTTAGTTTAGGTTTTTCCCATTGGGAAATTTGGTATGGTACTGGGTCTTATTCAGCAAATTTTGCTGGTATGGGTCTTGCTCGTTTCATCGATGCTGTTAAACAAGGAAAGAGGCCAAGATGTGATAAAAAACATACGATGATGGTTGAATTGGTCGATTTGGTTGGGAAATGCTGGAATAATGATCCAGCACGTCGCCCAACTGTGCATGAAGTTGTCTCGTACATGAAGAAAATTGATGAGAAATATAGTAAAGATATTTAAATATAAAGCTACAGAGTAAATGCCTGTTTGAATAAAAATTGAGTACATGTATTCCCGAAGCTAAATATACACATGTATGTATATATGTGATGTACGGACAAAGCATGATTTAAAAAAAAAACAACATATTCTCTTTATAAAATTGTCAAGACTAAAACATTGAAAAAAGTCAAATTAGATTTTGTACTGAAATTGAAGTAGTTTATACATTTAATTAACTAAGATTAAATAGTTTGACCGGTTATAATAGAAATTGGTTTGTATGAGTGTTAGATCCTGTATGTTGTAATTAAGGTTGTTACCACACTTAAGTGAAATTCTATGTATATAATTATGCTTCTAAAACAATTTTCAAACATCTAAGAATATGTAAAATATGTACTGCAAATATTTGTCAACATTATATGTAATCATTAAAATATACGCATTAATTTCATATTGAAAAAAATGAAATAAAATACTTTATAGAAAATAAATTTATAATTACCTCCCTTTATTAACATGAAATGTAAATTCGGTAATATCTTTACAAATAATGCTTGATAATTCTTCATTTGAGCATTATATTTATGATATAAAACCTTAAAAAATGAGTTACAGGATCTTTAAGATAGCTATTGTGGATATTAAAGAAAAATATGAGAAAAAGGGAAAAGAGCTCAACTCATTTTCTTAATTATATTATTGTGTGTGTGTGTGTGTGTGCGCGTGCGTGCGTGTGTGTGCATGTGTTGTTTTTTTAATTAAAACAAAATGTTCAGTCGTTATTTAGTTACATTGTTGTCTGCAAATAATATTTAGAATTATTGCATACCATTTTCTAAACACTTGCTTCTTCGTACATAAATTGCTTGTATATACGGCGAGTTGGCTTGACCAATTTCTTTTGCGCTTTATGCTTACATTTTCACAGCATTCAGTTAAAGACGTTTGATATAATTTTCATTTCGACAGAGAGAGAGAATGAAAACTTTTTCTAAGAATAAAATTAAATTTTGCACGCACTTGCAATTTTTCGACCCTTTCCATCAGTCTTCTGATGAGCACCTTGGACACAGTTATAAGACAAAACAGAACGGATACAAGTTTTCTGTCTAACCTACGCTATTTGTAAATGTAAGTAAATGATTAGATCTATTTCAATGTATCGTGTAAAAGTCGATCTAAGATTAGTAAATTTATATATTGATAAAAAGTAAACTGAATTCATATTTGGGTGGCAGAGTACCAAAAGTACTTAATGTATACCTGTTGACATAAATCTGGATTTGATTTAATTGTGCATCAGTTGCCGTTTTTAAATTGATTATGATTGTTAAACATATTTTTTTAATCATAATTTTACCGACGTATTTTTTTTTATCATATCAAATATATACATTTGTTATACATTATAAATAGATAAGATAGCACCCTCTGATTCATTTAACATATAAAACCGCCTTGCAGAACTACCTTCAAACAGTTTAAATCCGAGATTAGTATGAATTACAGTCGAAGTGTCCAGGATGCATTGAATGATCTAACACTATAAAAAAAAAGAAACAAAAAAAGCTGATGAACGGGCGATCGCCAATCTCGTTTCTTTATTTATCTACCCTTGAATTACATATTTGTGTTTATTTCAGGGGCAGGTAAATCATGGTTCATTAAGCTGACAAAATTCTAAGATTTGGTAAAAACGGGTAGGTTTTTTTATTCGGCTTTATCAAAACGTTTTCTAATTTTCTTTTGAAAACTCTTGTTTTACTTTAAATGAGAAAAACTGCATTTGTATGAAATTTCATGAAAATCTTTTCGTCAACATAGATAAAATAAAAGAAACGAATGTAAATGACGACTTTCAGACTATTACCTTCATTCAAAGTGTCATTTACTTGGGGGATATATAATTCAACGACAGATAACAAAAAAGGAGAGAAAAAATGCGTTCACCGCTATTCTTTTCCGTTTAAATATTTCTTTCATCATATTATAGTGTCCTAGATTAACAGTTTTTTATGAAATTATAATTATAATTATTTTGCCTATAAAGTATATCTATGAAAACTGCAGGAAACTTTCTTTATACTTAATTCTTTGAGTTATTGTTAATGAAAGATGAATATATTTCAACTTCACAAGTCAGAGCAATGGCTTGGCAACTTATATTTTTCACAATTACAAAATGCCATGACTTTGTCAAGCTATATAACTTATGTTTACAATTTTAGATAATAGTTTAGCCCATATTAGTTTAAACTCGACACTTTTACTATTTTAATAAATGCAACTTTGCAAATTCACCTTTAACAGTTTACCGGAATTCGCAAGTACTACTTATTCATTTTCGCAATTTCAAACATTAAATATTTTACTTTGATAAGATTATTAGGTAATTATAGATGTTTAATTGGTGGTGGTGGTTGTGGTGGTGGTAGTTTTCACTAGTGAGCCACATTAAGTTTTGGAAGGCTGTCAAGCAGTAAACCAGTACTAGTTATCTTCATTTCCGTAACAAAATGAAACGTCTGTATAAGCTCGAGCAGAGGTACAATGCGAAGGACCGTAGAAAAGATTTCATGATCAATCACAACGAGAGTGACCTGCATCGTTCAGGTATCGAACTCGGGTCGCACGAGTTACACTAATGCTCTACTTGTTTATATATTTTATTTCAGAAATGATACGCTTTTGTATTTACATGTATTAAAAGTAAAATATAGACATTGTGTAGGATGTGACAAATTTATCAGTCAAAAATGTCCATGAACATTTTAATAAGTTCATACAATATTACATGTAAATAACATGTAAATAAAGAATAGAAAATTGTATTTGGTTCTGTCAAATGATTTATTTTCATAATTATTTCATATTAAATCGCATTTTGATATGCAAACAAATGACAGTTTTGTTTTGCTCTGTTTTCTAGTTAAAATGACATTTTATATTTGACTGCTTAAATGTCAGAAAGTGCTGTACACAAACAGAAACAATGACTGACTCAATAGAAACAACAATTTGCAAAGGACATAATCTCATGTATGTTTGCAAAGAAATGTGCTTACAAATAGTGTGTACAGATTAATGTTTAAAATGAAATAGCGACATTGTCAAATTGAATACAAAAGGTAAAAGCCCCAATGTCTTGGTTCGAGTAATCGTTGAAAAAGGCCGGATTATTTGCAACAGAATATATTATAATAGTGGAGTACCAACTATTGTAATGGCAAATATTGAATTTGTCATTATAAGACAGATAAATCAACGGGATATATTAATCATATTAGCATCAATCAATTTGAAAGTAAATCCTTCCACGCATACTTAGCGACCATTTGTATCTGCTCTGATATCAGGGTCACATTATATGTAACTATATTCTTCGTTCAATGTCATTTAATTATACATGTTGGTAATATGCTTTCCGTTATGTTTATACATCACATTATTTTTTTTTAATTACAAAATGATCGGGATTCATTAAGTAATGTCGGCCTATTTTTAGATTACAGAAAACATATCTAGCATAATGTTGTTTTTTTGCAGAAAGTAAGGAGATACGTTTAACATTTCATGATGCAGACATGTATGGCTGTTTGTTTGTGGTATACAAAATAATCGTATATTCTTAGATCTCTTTAAACATATTAAACTATTTAACAGAATCTGTTTAAAAACATGCAATTTTCTCAGGTAAAACGTGTTCATCCGTAATTCAGAATTGTAGAGAGCAGAACATGAATATGACAAGAAGTGATGCAGTCTTGTACAAATCTATGGCCGAAACGACCAACATTGTTTTCAGAAACATATCTTCTTATTAACAAACTTTTGATATAGCATGTAGTAAACACACATAAGGAAATAATTGGAGCATTATGATAATACATGTACAATTAAAAGGTTAAATATACACAGACACATAAGATAATGTTTATTTAAGTCAGTGGCTTTTATCCAGGACTTCTTATTTGCTTGGGTAGTTTTTCCACTTCACAAATACATTTTAACTGCGTCCTTTGCCTCGAGTTTTTAACATTTTTTCTCAGTGTTTATTGTATGAGTTTCATTTTGATAAAATGTGCCTTCAATTTCATTTGCATAGACATCACAAAGTCTGTGGAAAGGTATCGTGCCTCTGTGGAAGCGTTTATTCAGTATAGGTTTCATCGTCAGCTCCGGTAAAAAACGTTTTCAGATGACTGATTTTTTACATGATCCCCGTCAATGAAATTAAATGGTTTCAGTTCGGCGTCATGTATTCTGTTTCGGGGATTTGTGCGATATATGTGGCTAATCTTACAACTTCTTGGTCCTTTTTTCCAAATCTGCCGGGGTTGTTCCGATCGTTCTGTGATATGTGTTGTTGTAAATGTTGGCGATATCCAGTAAAATCGCGTGATAGGGACAATCATCTTTGAACAAGAAGTAACGATATAGTCTCTCGTTTCAAAATAG